GGGTGTCCTGGCAGTGATTTTTTGGGAAACGGCAGGCTAGCGTGGATTCTTTGGGAAAAGGATTATCAGCCAGAATTTAGAAAACAACCGGGCTATAGCTGAGTATCTTTAGGAAAAAGATTTTGCAGAGATTCTCGAGGAAGAACCATGCTAGCAGAATCTCTTTAGGAAAATTCTACCAGCTATGCTTCCAGGAAGAGAGGCCAGCAGAGTTTTTTTAGGAAGAGGAGGGCTTGACGGCTATCTTTTGGGAAAAGAGGCTAGCAGGGATCCTTGGTAGGATAGGGCAGGCTAGCAGCGGTTCTTTAAAAGGAACCTCAATGTCCGATCCAGCACCTTTTTTTTTTTTTTGACTGGATTTTTATAGTTTTTTGTCTATTGTCTTTTTTAAAAAATTTTCTACCCCGAAAGAACCCATTAATGTGGCATCGTCGCGTTGTGGCGGTGAGGCGGTGCGGCGTTGCTTCGCGGTTCTAACAGACCGCGACGCTGCCTTGTCCACGTTGCGGAAGCGGACTAACCGAACGAAACGTAATCTTCTTCCTTTCCTGCGAATTAAGTTGGCACAAAACTCACGGAAAAGTCAACGAAAGGTCCCCAGGGAGGGCGTGGGTTGACGAGAGTTCTCGGCCAAACAACCCCTCAATTAATTCCTCTGTTTCCGAAATAACACCCTTTACAGGGCTTAGAACAGCACGAAGCGCTGTTTTTGAAGTCAGGGAGACCGGAAATTGGCTTGAACATTTTTTGGGTTGCAAAAACATGTTTAATTTGGGTTTTTTCAGGCATCGCAACGCAAAAAAAGATAGTTCCAGAGCTTGTATTCGTAAAAGATGTCAATGGATCCGTTTGCGTGAGTTTTTATATCTCTCCCTGTCTCCCTCGCTCTCTCTCGCGTTCTCTCTGGTTTCTCTCTCTCTCTCTCTCTCCTCTCTCTCTTTCTCTCTCGCTTTCAAGCCTGAATTCCAGATCCATCAGAAACTAAATTGAAATGATGTAAGTTTACCAACAAAATAAATTAGCTTTAGTTTTTGGTCTTGAATTTTTTTTACAATATTTTTGTTTTTTAGCGTTTGTATATTTTTATTTTCTTTAGTTTCTGAGCGCAGAATTGGGTTACTGTAACCGTACACCACATTTAAACACCCTAGAATTTTATTTTTCTTTAGCAACATCCCGACAGGTGCGAGCCTCGTCTTGGCCGCAATTTCTATGCCCCTCTACGCGGCGATACTCTGGATTATTGTAGCGGAACGGCGGAGAAAAGGGCAATTTTCCACGTTATTTTACGCTCTTACTTTGTCGCAGGTAAGTATTACGCTGGTAGTTAATAATGTCGACCTTACACTAACATTCAAAAAGATTGATGATTTTTAGGGATTTCTCGACCTCTTTGCCATGATAAATTATCTGCTCTTTACATATGGGCGTAGTTTTCAATTCTTGATGGATTTCTATTGGTTGTTTCGGTAAGTTGGGGCTTCAATCGGCCTAACTAGTTTCCTAGTAAAAGTCAGAAGGGTGAAAAATCTCTGCTAGTTTGCCATGTCGTTTTTGAGTTCAAGGGCTCCATCCCTTTAAAGCAGCAATTCCGTCTTGGTCTCCAATTCCTAAAAGATCTCTGCTCTGTTGCCCTCTCCCCTCCTAGCTGTCACTGTCCCTTTAAAACAGCATTTCCGTCTCGATCTCCAATTCCCAAAAATATCTGCTCGATTGCCATCTTCCTTCCTAGCTGTCACTGTCCCTTTAAAACAGCATTTCCGTCTCGATCTCCAATTCCCAAAAGATCTCTGCTCGATTGCCATCTTCCTTCCTAGCTGTCACTGTCCCTTTAAAACAGCATTTCCGTCTCGATCTCCAATTCCCAAAAAGATCTCTGCTCGATTGCCATCTTCCTTCCTAGCTGTCACTGTCCCTTTAAAAACAGCATTTCCGTCTCGGTCTCCAATTCCCAAAGATCTCTGCTCGATTGCCATCTTCCTTCCTAGCTGTCACTGTCCCTTTAAAACAGCATTTCCGTCTCGATCTCCAATTCCCAAAAGATCTCTGCTCGATTGCCATCTTCCTTCCTAGCTGTCACTGTCCCTTTAAAACAGCATTTCCGTCTCGATCTCCAATTCCCAAAGATCTCTGCTCGATTGCCATCTTCCTTCCTAGCTGTCACTGTCCCTTTAAAACAGCATTTCCGTCTCGATCTCCAATTCCCAAAAGATCTCTGCTCGATTGCCATCTTCCTTCCTAGCTGTCACTGTCCCTTTAAAACAGCATTTCCGTCTCGATCTCCAATTCCCAAAAGATCTCTGCTCGATTGCCATCTTCCTTCCTAGCTGTCACTGTCCCTTTAAAACAGCATTTCCGTCTCGATCTCCAATTCCCAAAAGATCTCTGCTCGATTGCCATCTTCCTTCCTAGCTGTCACTGTCACTTTAAAACAGCATTTCCGTCTCGATCTCCAATTCCCAAAAGATCTCTGCTCGATTGCCATCTCCCCTCTCAGCCGTCCTGGTCCCTTTAAACCTATTGGAAGCGCGTTGATTCCTGTCACCGCCCCTTTAGAATACGGTAATTCCTAGAGACACCTATTTACCTTCATGGTGTTATACCTATATTTATGTTTGTCTATACCTCCGTCTTGTTGGAGTCTCTCTCATCACTCTCCATCGCTGTATCGCTATTTGCAAACCAACAAGCCGTCTCTACAAGGTAAGTCGCTCTCTCTCTCTCTCTCTCTCTCTCTCTCTCTCTCTCTCTCTCTCTCTCTTGCTGTCTCTCTCTCCCTCGCTGTCACTCTCTCTCCCTTACTCTCTCTCGCTGTCTCTCACTCTCTCTCGCTGTCACTCTCTCCCCCTTACTCCCTCTCTCTCACTCACTCCTACCCTCCTTCTCTCTATCTCTCTCTCTCACTCTCTCTCTCTCTCTCTCTCTCTCTCTCTCTCTCTCCCTCTCTCTTCCATGAATACATTTCAGTCGATGGCTGACCTACCTATGGTTACGGTATGCGGAGTGCATTATGGATTGGGCTGCCTCGTCTCAACCCCTCTATTCCTTCAGAGAGCCGTATTCAACATGTTGCCCGATATGATTGATGTTGTGGTAGTCCATCTGCCGCTGGCGGTAGGCTTTTAAAAGCTGAAAACCGCCCCCAGCTTTGGTACTTAATGGATTCACGGTTTTTATACTTTACTTTCCGCGCTTTCAGGCGAATACAATGCAGGCGGCCGTCGTGTGCCTGATGGCGACTGCATTTTGCGTATTCTGCTATGCAGCCATTATTACCGTACTCTCCAGAGGAGAGCACTTTTCGGCAAAGTACGCGGGAGAGAGGTGTGTGTAGAGGGAGAGAGAAACGAGAGAAGAGAGAGGAGAAAGAAGGAGAGACTGTTGACGTAACGTCTTAGCGTCGCGTTTCAAAACATGAAAATTCCAGAAAAAGAAGCCTCCAAATGTCGACAGAGTTGAGGCTGACGATACAAGTATTGGCCCTGGGAATGGCCTTCTTTCTGCTGGCCGCCCATTTTATCATTATGTGGACGACGACGTTTTGGAATGCGGTACGGTGTCTTTGTGTCTCTCGCTCGCTCTCTCTCTCTCACTCTCTTCTCGTTCTATCTCGTTCTCTCTCTACCACTTTCGCGCTCTCAGACTCTCTCTCTCTCTCGCTCTCTGAGTCTCTCCCTCTCGCTCCTCTTTCTCTCTCCTCTCTCTCTCTCTCTCTCTCTCTCTCTCTCTCACTCGTTCCCTCTTTTTTTATTCCCGGCCCCTTTAAAGCATTGAGCGCGTAAGATAGCCACTTTTTTGAGGAAGCTGAAGTCAGCATCAGTCAGCATCCCTATTTTGCCTTCACAGGTCCTTTATAAAAGATACAATAGGGGAGCAGTCGAAGTTCTGCAAGAATCTAGCTTTTTTTCAGGGGAAGATCTTCCAAGACACGTTGCGGGCGTGGTACGTCCTGTGGAGTGCCCTGTTGTCTCTCATCCAGCCCTACACCCTCCTCCTCTCCAACCGAATCCTTCGCAACAAAATCTTTGGCGCCTTCCGGCCGAACAATCGCCCCGGCGGGTCCCGGGGTGAACATATTGAAGTGCGGGTGTCGATTGCTACTAGCAGAATTGCTTCCACGTCATAGTTTTGTGGTTTAAAGGAACGAGCAAGGCTTGGCTAGGGATTTTTTAGAACTAAGCTGTTAGCAGGGGGAACGAATTTTTTCCAGTAATCCTGTGCGGCCCTCTTACAAAATTTAAACCATTTTTAAAACATTTTACACATTTGTTAATTAGAATACTCGTAAAAGACGTTAGAAAATCGAGAATTTTTAAATTTTTTCCAAAACGTATAAAAAAAAAAATTACCAGAACGGTTAAATTCTCCAATTTTTAAAAATATTTAAGGTATTTAACCGAACTTTTTAGTAATCAAAAACTACTAAAAACAGTATAAAAATACACTATATATATATTAACAGCAGGTATACAAAACTCCTTACAAATTCCATAGTCAAACCTTGCCCGTCCCTTTAATAATACGTATTTTCATTTTTTTTAATTGTAATTACGATATTTCGCGGGTATTCGTAACAAAAACTTTTTCAACTTTATTGCTACAGTAATACAAATTTTTCGCAAACACTACAAAGCTCTACGGTATTGCACTGGAAGGGGTACACTAGCGGAATATCACAAAAATGACGAAGAAGAAAGCGGCCGGAAATTCTGATTAACTTAGCCGTTAAAAAAAGAAAACATTATTTTAGTAGATTTTGGCGTTTTTTTTATTTTTTATTTTTTTTGATGTTTGGAGGTGTCATTTTTTAGTTTTGATTTGGCGTAAAAAAAATTTGGAAGCATACGGTACTTTGGGTCATTTATTGAAATCTGCAAAGTTGCAAAAAAGTAGGTAAAAAGGGATGGTTATAAAAATAGGGCGAATACTAGCGAATCGGGGTGAATAACGGAAAACTCTGGTTTTCCAAACCGTGGCCTGGCCACCGTAGCCCTAGCCTAGTTGACGGGGGTGCCGACGGCGCTGCTGATGCGTTTGAAGCTCGGCGAACAGGTCGGGGAGGTGCCACGGAGGAAACGGCTGAAATGGGAGGGTTACGGTGGGGCTTGGATGGGGATACGCTATGGTATGTTACGCTACGTTACTTTGCACTACGCTGTGGTATGCTACGTTACGTCGCGTTATGCTACGTCACGTTGTGTTTCCGTACGTTACGCGACATTGACGCGGCGTTACGTGAGGTTACGCTACGCACGTTACATTAGTGGCGTTACGCTACGTTAAGTGACGCTACACTACGTGACGCTAGATTCCGCTACGTTGCGCTATGCTACGCGACATTACGTTGCGCTCCGCTACGTTACAATACTTACGTTCAGCTACGGTATGCTGCGCTCGGTCCGTAAACGCAACGCTAACTACGTTACACTCCATTTTTACGTGACTTTAAGCTAACTAGGGAAGTGCAAATAAAAAACCCAGCAAACTGCTTAGCAAAAATATGGGTCTGATAGAGTCGGCGACGGGGATTCCGAAACTGCAATCAGAATTTGCTAAACGCTTAATACAAAATAGTTATGAGCATTTTAAGTTTTGCACTACATTCTCCGCCCTCCCTTATGAGCCCCTCCCAAAGATGGGTGTCCGTCTGTCGAGTGGTGTAGTGGCTAACTAGCATGCCTCTGGGGCGGAGGGTCTCTGGTTCGACTCCCCGGTCATGCAAAACTTTTGCTTTTGGTCAAAGTCAACAACTTTAGACTTTTTCAAGAAGTTTCAAAGTCGAAAAGGTCCTTCTCTTAATTTTTAAATTTATGAAACTGATTGCAAAGTGGTGGCGGGAGTGTCAGTACTCTTGCGGATAGGGCACTAAAAAATTCACTTCTATTTTTTCGTAAGGCAGGCCTAGACGCAGTCAATATTAAAGAAAATTTTTAAAAATCTAAATTTCGGACTTCGAGCACAGAAAAGTCCCAAGTTGTTGACTTTGACCAAAAGCAAAGTTTTGCATGACCCGAACTGGCGTGCTGAACCGAGCCACTACACCACTCGCTGAGCAGTACCCATCTTTGGGAGGGGCTCATAAGGGAGGGCGGAGCATGTAGTGCAAAGCTTAAAATGCTCATAACTATTTTGTATTAAGCGTTTAGCAAATTCTGATTGCAGTTTCGGAATCCCCGTCGCCGACCCCATCAGACCCGTAGTTTGCTTAGCGGTTTGCTGGGTTTTTATTGCACTTCCCTAGTAAGTTGCGCCGCTCTGCGTGACATCCCGTTACGTTACGTTACCGACGTTACGCTACCTGGTTACGGTAGGAAACATTTACTTACGCTCCCTCTTCCTCAGCGATAGCCTGGCGGGTGGCAGAATTCAGGTAGGGTGAATTGGCACGAGGAACGGGGCTGGAAATGAGTGGGTAAAGAGGCCTCTCTCTGTCTCACCCTCACGCTGTGGTTCTCTCTCTCTCTCTCTCTCTCTCTCTCTCTTTCTCGCTCTACACTCACCCAACTGGCAGTCCTGTCTGCTGGTTGTACTGCTCGGCGGCCGACTCGGTCGAGTACAAGTTCATCGGCGAGTTGTACTGGAATACACAAGTAGCGTTAAGATCCCACCCTAAATGGTGCCCCAGTCACCGTACTACCTGCAAGTGATGCACCGAAGCTCCGGGCGACAGTTCGCGGCGTGTCCTCGGCGATGGGGCTTGGTAGCGCTGTTTGGAGGCTGTAAAAATTTGTGAAGTTTTGCCCAAGGTTAAGCCAAAGCAGACATACATGAACCCAAGCCTAAGCTATGTCTAAGCTGTCTAAGCTAAGCTTAAGCTAAGCCTAGGCCTGCGCCTAAGCCGGCGCCTAAGCCTAAGTTAAGCTAAGGCTAAGCTTAAACCTAACTCTAAGCCTGACCCTAAGCCTCGGCTATTACCTGGCGACAACGATCTAGCCTTCTGGAAGGGCGACGGCTGCCCAGCTCCGCCTCGTTGAATGTAGCTCTGGTCATTGTAGTTGACATCCGGGGCTTAAGATTTAAAGTTCAGGTTTCTCAAAAAAAATGACCTACCAAATTGGGCTCGCCTTCCAGAACCGGCTCCAGCTCCGGCGCCACCGCCACCGTATCCTGAATTGGCTCCAGCTCCAGCCCCGCTACCGTAACCTCCACCACCGTAAGGAGAACCTCCGAACGGGGCGCCGCCAGATCCGTGGCTACCGTACCCCTGGCCGCCGTGGGACCCGTTGGAGGCGCCTGGATTTGACAGTTTTTAAGGGTCAGGCAAGGTGCTTTCATCGATTTTGTTGACTTTAAGTGGGCTATACTTTATGTCTGCTTCACAGTCCATTTAAAGCAAAACCCACCAGATCCGAAGCCTCCAGCACTTGCCCCAAAGCCAGAATCGAGCGGGCGGAGGGCTCCCTGGTTTCTGAAAAAAATTAATGCATTTTAACTAAATCTGAATACAGTATAATCCTAATTAAAATTGAATTTAAATTAATTAAAATTAAATTAATTAAAATTCCATTTATTTAAATATCCTATTTGCCTCCTAGGGTAATAAACATGGCGCAATGCGTAAAAATCAACGTCCCGAGACTACTATGGGCAGAGGCGCCCCTCCACCTTCCAGCCCTTCCTCTTCTACCATTTTCTAATATTACCCCTCATTCCCAGCAACATCTTTTTGAGATGTCATGGAATTCGGGGGTGGTCGTGCCAAATCGCGGCTCTAATCGGTAAAGATTTTTAGTGGATCTTGCAGGTTTTAACTTCCTTGGTACTAGACTGATTGCGGGGGGTTCGCAGAGGTAGCTATTTCCCAGTAATTCATTGCTGCCTTATAACGACATATCGCCACTTTTTTTATTAAATGGTTTTAGATATCAATAATTTACAAAAAAATTGTAAAAATTTGTAAAAAAATTTGTAAAATTGTAAAAAGTTTCGAAATTCTTGATTTTTTGGTCCAAAATGTATGAAAAGTTGCCAAAAAGGTCAGAATCTTCGAATTCTCAAAGTTAAAAAAATACTTGTCGTAACTTTCTAGCAATAAAAACTACTAAAAAGACTAATAATGCATTGGATATTACCAGCATACCAATGAAAAAAACCAAAATTGGTTTTCCCCGCTAACAGTCCAGTACCCCATTTTTTACAGATCTCCTGGAGTGGAGATTCCCCCGCCAACGCTCTCCACTCCGGCCGAGACATTCCAAAAGCAACCGGCACCCCGGGATTCACTGAAGTGCAATGGGAGGCCGTCCAAAGAGAGAATCAAGCAAATGAAGAGAGAGAAGAAGAAGGAGGAAGCAGAAAAGGCCAAAGCTACTGTCGCCATCGAAAGCTGGTTGAAACGGGTACGTTCTCGACGGTCCGTGAACACCGAAGTGGCTTAGATAGGGCAGCCCGACCTCAAGAATGTCGACAACGATCGATACAAGGTATGGAATGGTGGGGTAGGACTGCGGGTATCTCCCGATGTTTATATCTCAGCTTCCCATTGGCCTAAAGGTGTGTAAAGTATATTTTTAAATCTTGTGAGATTCCGAATTTGCGTTATTTAGATAGCGTCGTCCAAAAAGATCGACGAGCCGGAGGCGAACAACGAGAATCGAGACAAGGTATGGGGAGCTCGAGCCTTATAAGATCGAAGCTTCTTCCGCATTCCCTGCAAGGCTTGGTCCCATCCCGAAGTCCGGACGGCGCTTAAAAACGCCTGCTTTTTAGCCTGGAAAGGAAGTGCGCAAATCGACAGAACAATGTGATGCTGCCCAGAAGTCCAAGATTGAACAGCCTATCTCCAGGATTGAACGGCCTGTCTCCCCTCCGAAATGTACTCAAATCACCTAAATAGGATCTTGTGCATTATCGGGGGGAAGAAGGCTCAATTTTCTAAGGAGCCGATTTTGCTGGCATAATTTGATTGAACATATAGTACTCCTTTGTCGACAAAAATTTGAAATTTTTGAAAAGGTTTGGTAGGACTCGAGATACCCCTCCCCCAGCCGGTCGCCGACTGTTTTATCTCGGCTCCCTGTTCACCTACAGGTATGGAAAGTATACCAAAATGTTCGTCGTGCTTTGGCGAGTATTTTGGTATACTTTACACCCTAGATGAGGGAGCAGGCATCTGGGACTAGGGGCGGGCCGGCTGGGGCGGCTGGGGGGGTATCTGGAGTTCAACCAAAATTTAGATAGTTTTTATTTAAATATCCTACTATATATAAAAAAATAGTGTCTGTGTGTGTGTGTATATTTGCATGCAACTTCCGTAAGTATGTACCGCACCTACAGCCTCAGGGGAAGGTTTTTAAGGTACGTATGATACGTCATTAGGTGCGTAATGGTCCCGAGATGGGTGCACACATATAAAATTTAAGAAAATCGGCTGTTTTCGATATTAAAATTAAGTTTTTGTAAAGATATCGAAAACCTCTTTGTTAGAGGCAATTAGCATTGACCGGGAGTGGCCGTAGCCTATAAAAATGGAGGAGCGTGCGCTTTTCATTTTTGGTGAGCGGCATTCGGAAAGCCCTATGTAAAGTCAGATTTTCAGAAGTCCTAGAGGTTCAGGGTTGAAAAGCCGCGAAGCGGTTTTTCAACCCTGGT